ACCACTTTTAAGTGATTACATTAGCTAAACATGATATTAAAAGAGATAAAGGGATGTTTTTGTAACAGCTCACTGGGGCTCCAGTCCTCTTTCTGTATGTTAAATATGTGAAGATCGTGGTTCTCTGGATTACTCCAGCTGGGAGAACGGTATGTTTTTTAAGAAAGGAAAATTAAATTAGTCTTGTGTTTGATACGTTATTGAGCACTTTTGTTACCTGATAGGAAATTAGGTAATGCAGGCTGGTTCTGTGGCACTCGGTCATTCCCCTGCGCTGGAGTAGTTCCCAGCTGAGCAATTAAGGCAGTTTTTTGGTCCTTGTGCCCCAAGAGCAGCCCAGAAAGACTAGAACAGCATCCAGAATCTGGCTCTGGATGAGTTGAAATATAACTGCACAACTGAAGGAGAGAAAAATGCAGCCAAACCTGTGCTGCTTTACAAGAAACTTGGCTCTGCAGAGCCTGAAAGGGGTTGGGAGTGAGACCGAGGGATGGAGAGTCATGGTCGGGTGGCTGGATGGCGGAGCTCACTGTCTCTCCGCATAGCTGGGACTGGCGATTTAGTAAGCATCAAACGCTTCACGCAGTTCATTCACTAACAAGAATATGTAGTAACTAACATATTATAGCTCAGAGGCTTCTGAGTGTGAATACCACTAATGAAAATCAGGCCTGGGTTTCCAAGTGGTTTTGGGGATGCTTTTAAAAATCACACCCCTTTCTTCAGCTTCACTCAGCTGCTCGCTTCAAGACAAAAAACCCTTTTTCCCCCTTTTTTTTTTCCCCCCATACTGGTTTTTACTGCTTCTTTTGGGGTGAAAAATTACAGGTTTTCTTCTAACACGTTCCTTCCTAAGGTGAAGTAGCGGTGTAGCGTGCAATGTATTTTAAGGACTCATCTTCTTACCATCAACTTAGAAGAATCTCCCTTATGGTATTTTGAATGTAGGTAGAGGCTGAAAATGGGTTTTATGCGTCTAAGCCACTGGAGTAGTTGAGCATTTTATGCCTATGAATAGCAGCAATGCAACGATGTAAAAATAGTAACTCTCTGCAGAGTGATCTAAACTTTTGTTTCCTTCGTAATGTCTTGAGATTACAGAAATCACTGGGGCTTCAGCGAGTGGATCAGATATAAAGCGTTCAAAAAACAGGATGTCTTTTTCCACAACTAACCTGCTCACAAAAAGAACAACTGAGGAGGGATTATCATTAATAGCGTTCGGTGTAATAGAGACAAAACTGTTACACCTTAGGAAAACATAGAATCATAGAATGGTTTGGGTTGGAAGGGACCTTTAAAGGTCATCTAGTCCAACCCCCCTGCCGTGGGCAGGGACATCTTCAACTAGATCAGGTCGCTCAGAGCCCCATCCAACCTGACCTGGAATGTTTCCAGGGATGGGGCATCCAGCACCTCTCTGGGCAACCTGTGCCAGTGTTTCACCACCC